AAAAAAAAAACATGTAATGAAAACTTCATGGAAATAAATGGGAGTTATTTAATTTAGATTTAAAATATATATATATATATATATATATATATAAATATACATAGCATTCATCATGAATATTTATGATGAATAGTATATATATATACCATTCATCATAAATATACATACCATTCATCATGAATATTTATGTATGATCATGTATATACAATCTCTCTAGTATTTATATTTGTATGATATTTCATAAATATTATTTTTTGCCATGATATTCATCATGCATATATATATATATATATATATTATTCATCATGAATATGCTACAATTTCAACTCCACGTACTTTTTTTCTTCTTCTTTATTTGGTTCTTGATTGATCTGTATGAGTTTATGATTCATATCAATAGGTTTTTCGATATATCTCAATAAAAAATAAAAATGGTAGGTTATAGTTTTACACAAATAAGCATACAATAAATTAATCAATGGTTTCTCAATCGGTGTCGATGAAAATGAAGGTGTTATGTTATGAATTTACCACACAACCACACACCAAGTCAGTGAATGAGTTATTGATTTGTCTAGATTAGTATCGATCAATCCGATGGGTTGTCGATTAATCTTGATATGTTCTTGATTGGTCTCGATAAAAGTTGAAAGTGGTAACCTCTGATTTTACGAACACAAACAAATAATAAATCAATCGATAGGTTTATGATGTAAAATGAAGGTGGAAGTTATAGTTTAACACACATAAACACTAAATGGATTCTCGATCTTTCTCGATCGATCTTGATGGGTTATCGATTGGTCTCAACGGGTGTTCAGGGCCGGCCCTGGCCACGTGCAGCCCGTGCGGCCGCACAGGGCATCAAAGCCTAAAGGGGAATCAAATTATCCTTTATTACTAGTTTTGAGTTTAATAATTTGAGAATTTGACCACTGAGCTTTAACTATAAAACAGGCCCAAGGCTTAGTAGTGATGAAAACTGAATGTATATCGTTGGAAAAAGTTGGAAAAGTTTTTGTTTGTATAAAGTTGTTTGTATGAATTAATCTATTTGTATAAGTTGAAAAAGTTTTTGTTTGGGAGCGTTTTTTCACAGATGTAAAGAGCGTTTTTTTAGTTGAAAGGAACATGTTTGGAAAAAAAAATTGTTTTCTATAAAGTTTCCCTTAGAAGTTTACTGGATAAGTCACTTTCTATATCATTAAGCCACTACGAAACAGTCATGCATAGTTGAGAGTTGAGTGAATAAGTTGTTAGTTCCATTAAACTTATTAAACTGCTAACAGATAAGCGTTTAGCCTTTAGTTGGCAGACCTGTAACTTTTAAGTTTTACTTTTTGCTTACTATGACAACAATTTGGATCTAATTTACTATTTTATTTAAAAACTAATTATAGTTTTCCTTATCTTTTAAGTTCCATATATTGAAATAAAGTTTTTATTTTGYTAATTTCAATTTGGAAAAGGGAAAACTGGAAAAGAAGAAAACACGATCTTAATCCAGGATTTATCATTTTATCATTTTATATTTTGTATTCGGGGTTTTGGTTTTTATGTCCCCTCCATTGTATTTTTTTAATTATAGTTAATAAAAATCAACATCAGGATGAGATACTTAGTTTGAATAGGTTATAAACTCTTTAAAAAATCGCATGTTTCATTGTTTTATTGACTTACAAAAATAGGCTTAGGGGCATTTTTTATTATTTTCGCACAGGGCATCAAAAATCTTAGGACCGGCCCTGCGGGTGTTGGATTACGGTGATGAAGAACGCGGTGCATTACAACGTTGAAGAAAGTGTTGAAGACGGTGATGTCGATTTACGAACTTACGGTGTTGAGTTATTGTACACACTTGAACGTACATAAATATCCATAATGAATATAACACATAAATACTATTTCACGTAAAAGAGTAAAAGTTTGTTTTTTATATAATTTGTTTGATTAAAATATTAATAATTTTTAAAACAATTTATTTTAAACTTTAAAAGAGTAAAAGTTTTTAACTAAAAAAGAAAATAAAAAGTCAAATAAAGTAGACATAAAATTGAAATTAAAACATTATTATTATAATTTATAGAAAAGACAAATAGTCAAAATTTGGATCCGGAAATGGTCAAAACTCAAAAGGATGATATGAGAGTGGAAGAATTAGAATAAATATATTATGACAATAAAATATGAATGTTTCATTAATTTTATGTCTAAAATAAAAATTAGAGTAAATTACAAATTTGGTCCCTTTAATTTGTGAAAAATAACATTTTTCGGCCCTGAAGTTTTGAAAACAGAGACATCATAGTTTGTAAAGGTGTCCGAATTTGGTTTTTCCTTCTAATGAACATTAAAAGAAATCCGTAAAATGGGTGTTTTTTCATATTTTTATCGAACTTTTTTGTCGTTTACCCAATCAAAAATCATAAGTACCAAATCGTAAGATTAATCTTGATTGGTTAAAAGCAAGGTTCTAAATGATGTGATGTTTGGCGAGGTCAGGTTTCAAATCTTACGAATTACGGCGAGACCATGTTGTTTTTTAAGACATGCTATAATGTGACATACGTACATACGTACATACATACATACTAGGGATTTAATCATTTGAAAACTTCAAAATTTATGAGATCTATGAGAACTTTTACCTTAAAGTTTTGTTTCATATGATTATTTCCTTCTAAATGTAGTATTTAATGTATTCATTAACATATATTTGTTTTATAGTGTATTTGTTTCATATGTATTCGATTCACCAATGTGAAACTTTTTTACGTGTATTTTTTGTTTCATAAACACGTAAAAAGTGTTCACATAGTAAACCGAGTACATGTGAAACAAACACATTGTAAAACAAACACATTGTAAAACAAACATATTTTAATCAATATTTTAAATCTTAGTCTTAGATGGAAAATAAATCATATGAAATAACACATGATGCACAAGTTTTCAAGATTATCATGATTTCACTGATACTCGAAAGAAGGTCCCCCTATATACATATATGTATGTTGGGAGAGGTTCATTTGAGAAGTGCTAAATGTTTGAAAAGTAGATAAGTGGTCCTAACACTTCTCTGATTAACATATGCGATTTTGATTGTGAAATACCGGATAATTCGGTCGCATGGTATGCAAATGATAGAAGAGTAATTTCACAACTTTTACAGATAGACGACAAACAAGTGCATATGTGAACCCCTATGATTCACATATAAACTAATTAATTGATTCATAAATGAAATATTTAACTAATCACATGAGTTCATATGTAAATAAGTTAAATGGTTCATATGTAAATCACACGGGTTTACAAATGCACTCATTTGCATATGTAAAACAAAAAAATGTTTGTTGACTAGCTTAAATTTTTTATTTTCACCTTTGTCTTACATAGTTTCCCCCAGTTCTATATGACCATATGTTTCCCTCCCCCAAATCCAATTGAACATGCCCCTGCCCCATCAAATTTCCTGGATTTGCTATTGTATGACGAGGAATTTAAGCCTTGGTGTCATAACACACCATAACGAGGTTGTGACAAGTAATCTATAACCATGGTTAAAAACACAAAAAAAATCAATAAAAAGACAAAAATATCCATTGTTTAACGGGATTTTTTTAACGTCGTTAGAGTTCAGGTAAAACCACTACAATTTCAAAAGTAAAGGGACTAAAATATTATTTTCGACAAATGACATGGACCGAATTTGTAATTTAGTCTAAAAATTACAATTAATTTGAGAAAAAAAAAAACATGTAATGAAAACTTCATGGAAATAAATGGGAGTTATTTAATTTAGATTTAAATATATATAGGGGTGGGGGTGGGGGTGGGGGTGGTGGGAGTTGGGGGTTGTAAAGAAGGGGAAGACGAAGAGCGGGAATTTCGGCAAGTCTCGCTCATGTACTTTGATTTCTCGTAGAACAATTTATCTCTCTCTCCATTTCTCTCCCCGATTTCTTTCCCTAAATACATGCAACCCTAACTATTCGATCGATTCATCTCTCCCTCTCTCTCTCTGGCGCTATGACGGATGATAAGAGAAAGAAGAAGAGAGGGAGAAGCAAGTTTCTCAGGTCTTGCTTTCGCTCCGAAGATGGACCTTCTTCATTTGACAAATCTGATGGCCGGAATGACAAAGTTGGGCCGTTAGGAAAGCCAGAATTAATAGCAGACAGTGGTCGCCAAGGGAGAGACTTCATTCCGGATGATAATTTGGTCAACGGTTGCGATGCCGACAACCGTGATGATTGCTTTGCGAAACGCTCTTCTCCTCGACGACGAATCTCTCGTATACTTAAAGCTGTTTTGTTTAATGCAAAGGTGATTAGTTTTAATTCATATTCGTAATCCGTTTCTCTCATGTTTGATTCTGTTTATTTCATGAATTCATTCATTTTCATGTGAAGTTTGTTATCCGTCCTTCTCGATGTCAATCGAACAAATAACAGATGAAGTAAAAAATGTGGAATCAGATTGTTATTTGCTTACATCTTTGAACAGAAACATCATAGATCTCAATGACGTTAATCTGTATTTTTTTATTCGAGTCGGAAACTATATTTTCTGAATCTTCTGGATTATTGCATCGATTCATGATTTGTATGTTTTTCATCATGCGGCATCATATTGATTCATTTGTTATTTTGATTTTCATCGACAGTTGAAGAAGATTCGTAGCAGTGCTTCCAAATCTTCGATTTCTTCGGACACGAGTTCGTCATCGTTATCAAGCGAAAAGGTCGGCAAGTCACTCAATGACGGTAATGCATACGGTAGAGAATGTCCTGATATGGACGATTCATGTAGTCGTCGTTCACATCTGTTTTCTTCTTCTTCTTCCCGAACCACTTCTTCTGCATACTCTACTTCTTCACGAACCACTTCTTCTGCATACTCCACGTCTTCCTTATCGTCTAACAACTCTAATTCTAGATCGTTGTTTGACCAAAGAACATCATCTCGAATGGATACAATTGATTTTGGACATCCGGTTTCATCCAATTCGTCAACCTTGAAGAAATCAAATCCTATCAACTCTAATTCTTCATTGTGTTTTGACCAAAAGGCATCATCATCCCGAACAGATTCACCGCATTTGAGATCTCAGGGCTCTTCTAAATCGCTAATCTTATCCAAACCAACATCTACCAATTCCATTCCTCAATCGTCGTCTCACCAAAAAGGATTATCTCGACTAGACTCTCATGATTCGAGAAATTCAGTTTCATCTAATATGCTCTTTTTGATGAACCCTAATCCTGATCAGATCATGTTTGGTGGCAACAACTGGAATATCCGTTGGTGTTTGTTTCTTCTCTTAAGCCTTGTTGTGTTGGTGATTTGGGGGAGGATCTTCTCCATTATGTGTACATCAATTTGGTTCTACTTTGTACCTTGTCATCGGATCAAGCGAGTCGACTCGGTTACGAACATGGCTGAGTGTGTGGATACTGACTCGAAGCATTACAAAAAAAGAGTGATCATGGCAGGGCTGCTTGAAAGGACTCATAACCCCACCAGGTAGCTTAGCTCTGAATGGAAGCTCAGGTTAGTCTGTATGAAATGTGTATAAAAGTCTTATGTGTATTTTGTATAAACTAAAAAAATATTCACAGAAAAATCATAATTTTATGATTTAAAATTTGTAATGAAATTTGGACCTTGGAGATTAGGATCAATGGAACAATTCTATTTCCCCTTACCCCAATTCTTATAATTGTTTTTTCATTTGGGTTAACAAAGTTCTGTTTCTTAATATATTTATATAACTTTATTAAATATACTCCTATATATCTATTCATTTTCTTATCACATGTTTTTGTTGTAGAGATTTTTCCATTAATTATAGTTTAAAATATTTTATAATATATTATTTTGTTATATTTTTTAATAACCTTTATATAATTATAATAATTATATTTCAGTTTAGTCGAAAATAATTCTCTAAACCAACAACAAGGGTGGTACTTGACTGATTTGAGCGCGGGATCCAAAAGTCAAAAGTGTTTGGAGATCCTGGTTCAAATCCAAAGAAAAATAAAAATCTCATTGTGGCCACAGAGGTTCAAATGCCGTGACTTCGGTCTATCCGTAAAGCAGATGGTCGTTCTTGAATTAATCGGCTCACATAACGAGTTGAATATACAAATTAATAAAAAAAAATATCTAAACCTAAAACTGTATCTTGTTTTTATATTTTAGAAAATAATATGAAAATTTGTTTGTCCATAATTCAGGAAAAGTAGGTCAAAAACGCCACACATGTATACTTGTCACTATGTATTTGTTATTTGAGTTTGACTTTGATTACATTACCTTTAAAATAGTGATGCATCATTGACATTTTGATCCCACTTGCTGCTCCTTTTGGAAAAAAAAACTCAAAATCAACCAAAAATTTAGAAAATAATTTAAGACAGTGAAATATGATAAAATCGTATTAAATAACTTTATCGATCTTTAATTTATCTCAAAAGGTATATCTGTTTAACAAAGATTTTAGGTCTACAACTATGCTCTTGTATGCATTTAGAAGAAGTTTACAAAAATAATCAATCTGTCAAGAAAAGTTTTATTTTTTAGTCATTTTCAGATCTCATTTACCTTTTTAGTTAATTCTTACATAGGAAGCTTACATTACATATATGTATAAGGATTAGTTTTTTAGCTTTTCATTTTCTGTTTACTACTAGGGCTTCTAAATTCTTACACCGGGTTTCATAGCCCCATGTAACCTTCGCTTCACAGCCTGATTAATGCACTTTAAAAGCGCACTTCTATAAACAACTTCCAGAGAGAAGCGAACGAGGTCTTCCTCCACCGCTACCATCCTCCAGGAGTGCAAGACAACCAGACCGTTAAACAGTTCTTCGAGGGTAGCCCAAGGGGAAAGTGTGGTAAGGTGATACCATTTAGACCTGTAGGCTTTCGCTTTCGTGTCTCTTTAAAATTGCAGTCATGATAAAATCTTGGTTTATTTAATTATCAAAGACTTCCAAACGCATGAATTTTCGAAACGAACAAAGAAATGGAAATCCTTATATGAAAAGTAGAATTAACTAGAAACAAGTAAAAATAACTCTAAAAAAAGCAACCATTTCTGTAAATTTCTCATGTATTTAGTGCAGTGGTGCAAATTTGACATGGATAGGCGTTCATGATCTACAGCATTTAATGAATACTAAAACGGGTTGATGATGTAGGTGGTAGATTAGGTTGGCTACTTTCTAAGATTTTCCATTTTTATACCTGCTTTGCTTCATGCTGAATCCACAATGTCACCTGCTTCAATTTGTTTCACATTTTCATGATATCAGTGTTGGGAATAATCATAGTGAATAATGGCATCCACTCTTTCTTTCTCTTCATCTTTTACATGTGTAATGATGTTTCTTCTTAGCAAAAGAAAAAAAGAAAATTAATTAAAATAACGAGTTTTACCCGTTTGTTATATCTTTTAGCTATTTTTTTACAAAGTTCATTGAAATAGCCATACGCCTGTAATTTTTAAAAAAAATTCCCGACGTAGGTGAGAAATGTAATTTTTTTGTAAACCTGGGTGAGAAATGTAATTTTTTTTTGCATCTGAGTGAGAAATGTAATTTTTTTGTGGACCTAGGTGAGAAATGTAATTTTTTTTACCCCTGAGTGAGAAATGTAATTTCTTTTTGGACCTGGGTGAGAAATATAGTTTTTTTGCGGACCTAAGTCAGACATGTAAATTTGTTTTGGACTTGGGTGAGGAATGTAGTTTTTTTGCAGACCTGAGTGAGAAATGTAATTTTTTTCCAGATAGGGTTAGAAAGTGTATTTTTTTTTTTTTTTTTGTATTTTAGCTAGGTTTGCAATTGCGGATGTGGGTTTTATGGACCTTTTGCTATTTTGGTAAACTTGAAGAGAAAATGGCTAGAATGTAAAACCAACTCTGAAAATGACTATTTTAATAAATTTCCCAAGAAAAAGATGTATATGATTTGTGCAAATCACATAATCTTGCATTGGCTTTTTGATAAGTAAGATGTAAATTAAACATCGTTTTATAACTAAAGACTGTAAGGGTGGTGTCCGATTGGTTTGAACTTGAGTTCTAAAGGTCAAAAGTGTCTGGAGATCTCAGATTCGAATCCAATGATGAATAAAAATCTTCCTATGGCTACGGAGGTTCAAATGCGATGACTCCGAGCTACCTACAAAGTGAATGGTCGTCCTAGGATTAGTCAACTCACATAACGAGTTGGATATCCAGGTTAATAAAAAAATTGTAAATCCACACAAATTTATTTTTGTGACTTGTGTTACATCACATGAATGGAAGATACAAATATATATATATATATATATATATATATATGTGCAATACTAGCTATATATGGATTGATATAAACAAAAATGGTATTATTTTATGAGAACGTGAGAACACCAGAAACAGACAACCTCACAACCATCATAGTCGATAACAGTGGCAGATCTAGAAACTATTATGGTTGGGGGCACACTTAAGAGGGTCGAAATTTTTTCGAAACTGAACAATTCGTCCGAACAAAAAAAGATTTCGGGTAGCTTAAACTGTTCGGTTAACCGAATAAAGATAACTGATGCGATTAAAGTAAACTCGACATTGACCATACAATTTATATTGTTGAGTGAATATGACTTGTATATTTACCTTTTCATGTGTGGCACTGAGTATCCTGCTTACTGAAATGCAATGATGTGGTGGAGAGTGACTTCTAAAGCTTATGTTTTAATCTTTTAGTACTCTTCTTAAGATGAGCACCCAAGGAGACCTACCAACTAGGAATTATTCCTTCTGCCTGATCATATAATTCACAAATAACACTTGATCTTTAATTGTCTTGCATATTGCTTTTCAACACAAAATCGCAAAATTAACCTAACATTTTCATTTGTCTAACATTTTCATTTTCCTACAAAATTAACCTAACATTTTCATTTGTAAAATTAACCTAACATTTCCATTTGTCTACAAAATTGCAAAATTAACCTACCATTTTCATTTGTCTATATAATTGCAAAATTAACCTAACATAAAACATTTACCAAATCACCAATTGTGAAACAAACAACAAAATTAAAGTAATTAAACATTAAATACTGGAATTTGGATATTATAATTTTTAACCAAATTATTGGAAACCGGAAGAAAGAAGCAGGTAACAGGCAACAACGATTGATGAAGAAGAAGCACTGAAGAAGTGATGAAGAAGCACTGAAGCAGCGACGGCGTGAAGAAAAAGAAGAAGTGCTGAAGCAGTAGGCGTGCGTGACTGATGAAGATTGAAGGGTGATAGAAGAAGGAAATGGAAGTGGGGTGGGGCCTTCAAGGTCTTCTTGTTGGGAGCCTAATTGTTTGAAATTAAAAACTAAAAGTAAAAAAAAAATGGGGCTTTGAACAATATATTTTGTTGGGGGCCCAGGACCCCAACCAACTCCTCATGCATCCGCCCCTGGTCGATAAACTGATGGTACATACATGATGGACATGAGTGACCTTACACTATTTTGTCCCACATTCACATGTGATGGTTGCATGTTTCATGTGTTTTCGTGTTATTTGTAAAATGATACAATTCTCGTTTGAACATACCTTGGGCTATTTGGCAATCTTGAAACATAACGGTTTTTATGGTAAGGAAGAATCGAGATTCTCAATCGCCAACGAATTGCAATATTGGTCTTTTTCCGACTAGGAGCATAATCAAAAATGGGTTTAAGATAGACTGAAATATATGGTGTAAAGACCTGATAGAAGCTTGTAATATCTTGATGTACTCCCAGCTTCTCACTAGCCTTTCTTTTTTGAATATATTTGCTGTTTTAAGGGGCTGTTTGACAATTGTTGAATGGTTTGGTGCAGAATGATTAAGTGGTCAGAATGATTAAAAGACTTTCATGATATAGTGCAAAATGAAATATAATTGTTTGATAATTGTATACAATAAAATCAGGGCTCTTAATGGTTAAGAGAGATCCATGATGCAAAATCATTCAGAGGATTTTAGAATTTTTAAGAGGCATATTTTTTTTTTTACCGAACAAGGTTTACCTATTAATGGAACTATTAAGAGTTAAACAAACAACCCCTTAAATAAAACTATTCACACATAATACAAACATAATAAAAATATTTTTTATAACAATCATATAAATCACGTTTAATAAAATGGATCAAATCGATAAAAATTATAAACTATAGAACCAAAACAATAATTAAATTACGGATAAAAAAAGAGTTATTTATAAAAATAACCGGTTTACACAACCTTTTGCCACAAAATAACCATATTTTAGAGGTTTTGCCAAAATAACCACCCGGATCGCCCCCGGGGGCGATCCGTACACAATGGGGGCGATCCCGGGTAAAAATTTTTTTTCTCAAAAGTCGAGATTACTGTTCACCTCGTTGACCGTGTTTGACCTCGCCCCGGGGAGATCCGTACTGTTCACCCGTGTTTTTTTTTTGTATTTTTTATAACATTGAAGTTGTATTTTTTAACTTTTTTAGAACCAAATTTCATGGGAAAAAGTTTAAAAATAAATCTTTATAATTATGGAGACGCAAAAATTATTTTTCTCTGTGTTTTTTAAACCAAATTTTAACTTTTTTGTGTTTTTTATTTAACAATTAATGGGTGTTTTTAATAAAAATTAAAAAGTACATAAAGTGTGTCTTTTTACGTATTTAATTTTAAATTTCACGGTTTTTCGTTATAAAATAACCGGATGATAATTGTGGTTACGAAAAGAAAATATTTAGTTGATTTTTGGAGAAAAAATCAGACATTATATCTGATTTCGCATTGTGGAGGATTACTACATCATCGTCGTCTATAAACTGATATAACGTATTCGTTTTAAAAAATAAATTTAAAGGACCACGTAAACTTAACTTTTTCGTCACACGTTTGACGACCCCATAATACGTTATTGGCGAAGACAAACGTATTGCACATGTGTGGGAGGTTATCGGAAGGTACTCTAAAACACCATTTATATCTTGGAATAAACCGCCACTTCGAAGATACACACAAACATTATCACTTTCACGTGATTTCATGTTTTGTGATGGTTGATTGTGTTTAGTGGGTTAAAGGTTGTGATAATTTATTGTGTTTAATGGGTTAAGGGTTGTGAGAGTAAAATATATAAGAAAAGAAATGGAAGGGAATGTGTGAAAAATTATGAATTTGGAGGTTGGTATTTATAGTGAAATTGATATTAGAAAAAAAAAATCAAAATTTTTTTTTACCCGGATCGCCCCCGGTACAGTACGGATCGCCCCGGGGGCGAGATCAAACACGGTCAACGAGGTGAACAGTAATCTCGACTTTTGAGATTTTTTTTTTTACCCGGGATCGCCCCCATTGTGTACGGATCGCCCCCGGGGGCGATCCGGGTGGTTATTTTGGCAAAACCTCTAAAATGTAGTTATTTTGTGGCAAAAGGTTGTGAAAACCGGTTATTTTTATAAATAACCCATAAAAAAAAAAAAAGGAAAATAACAATAACATAATTTAACACCTTGTATATCTTACCGTTATGATTAGAGGATCTGAGCGTTGAGTTCAACCATGTGAACCCCAACCCACAAAACCCTTCAAACCCTGCAATTGAATCTTCCCGGCAAAATCCAATTCCATTCGATGTTCACCAAATTCTTTCTTCGATCGTCTTCTTGTCTTCCCATTACTCTATCTCCTCCGCTTACACCCTTCTTCTCCAACCCCTGTACCCCCACCTCCATCCGCCCCATCGCCGTCGTCTCCGCCTCCGCTTCACTTTCCGTTACCCTTGACGAAACCTTCCCTTACGAGCCTTCACTGTCCAAAGGCTACCAACCATCAATCCAATCCAAAACACTACAGCAAGATAACGAGGATTTATTTGATGAAAACTGCTTCACTCGTGTTTTCGACATTTCTGCTCTACGGGTCTCCGCCGATCGCTGCTACGCTCTAGAAAGTCAAATCCGTGGACATCTATTGAACTGGCCTCGGATTCGGAACATAGCTAGGGTTCCTGGAGACGAAATTGATGGCCAATTACAGAAGTATTTCAACTCGAGTGATGATGAACCCTTGGAGTCTTTGAATCGGCGAATTTATGGAAAGGCTGAGGGAGATGGGGAGCCACTGAGTCCGGTTTTATACAGAGATAAGCTTGCAAAAACCTTCAATGCCAGAGGTTATGAAAAATTCAGGAACTTGGCCAAGTTGTCGAGGCCAAAGAGGAAGACAAAAAAGGAGCCAAGTGAAATTAGAGAGAATAAAAGGAACGAGTGTTATCAAGTAGAGGAGGTTGTTGATGATCGTCGGAGTGCCGAGGAGAAATGGGAGGATTTGAGTGGATTAATTGGAGAGGCTGAGTATAGGTTAGGGAAATGGAAAGGATCAACAAGATTGTTGCTTTTGGATCATCGACATGCAGATAAATCAATGGATGAATTGCCTGAGGCGATTAAGGTATTTGTTCCACCACATCTATGAGTTGAATATCTTTTGTAGTGAAAATGGTTAGTATAAATGATTAGGGAAAGCATCATATTTGCTGATGAGGTATATGCTATCCGTAAACCGTGCGCATTGTTTACCATCACTACAACAAACTTGGCATCATAGGCCGCATATATATGTTTAAATGTCCTAAAAGATTGCTTTATAGGACCAAACAATTCTGAGTCATATGTAAAAGTGTTACAAGAAGTTGATAAGATGTTTTTGGTTTGGGTGTCCTACCAAGTTCTTTTAGGAAATAAAACGTTCTATTAATATTTTTATATGACATTATGTGAAAAAGCGTCTTGTAGAAACAGGTGTCCTAGAAGATGTGCTTATAAGACACTTCTTAAAAGCGTATTGTGAAAAAGCTAATAGGACACATTATTTCAAAAGTGTCCTTTAAAAACTTGTTAGGATGCCCAAAGTGTCCTATCAACTTATTGTAACACTTTTGCATAGAAAACAAAATTTTTTGGTCTTATAAACTCAAGCCCTATGAACCAGTCTATTAGGACACTAGACATATTTGGTGTCCTATAAAGCCGATTTTGTAGTGCATCAGTTCCATTTCATACTCTGTTTATCTGTGACAATTGACAACTGAGACATTTGCCATGCTATAAATGTAACTGCAGAAATATATTTTATAAACAATACCTGGTATGATGGAAATGGGTTCATTATAGCTTAATTCTAGATAAGCGTTTGGTTGGAGAAGGCATTGCTCTTTCATTATGCGTTATATTATTTGCAATGAAAAAGAAATAATTTGGTATGGCTGCATTACTATTATCCCAGCTGGTGAATTATAGCTCTAGTTGGATTATAAGGTTCCTCTTTTCTTCAGGCATGCTTAACGGGATCACCATTTGAACTTGTGAGATGCAAGCTGACTTTGTTTTACAATTACTGGCAGATGAATGAGGTATCTATTACAGCCAAAGAAACTGCAAACTGATTATATTTTGCTTCCTTGATTTTCCATATTCTGCAGTTACGTTTTCATGTGGCTTCGTTAATCATGTTTGTATCTTGGAATGATTTCGGCTATGGTTATGAGAATAATGCAGATCTTAGAGGCTTTGCTTCCAAAGGGTATGATAGTTCCTTCATCCTTTGAGACTGTTGGGCATATCATCCACCTAAACTTGAGGGATGAACATCTTCCATATAAGAATCTTATAGCGAAGGTACTTAGCTCAAGTCTTATCGATCAAGCCATCAAGAATCTTCTTTTAAAACGTAGTATTTATCTAGCATTTCTGCTTGTTGCCAGGTTGTTTTGGACAAAAATAGACCGAAGATACAAACAGTTGTCAATAAGATTGATTCCATTGATAATGAATTTAGAACCATGCAGCTTGAAGTTTTGGCTGGAAATCATTCTCTTGTGACAAGAATAGTAGAGAATGGAGTTCATTTTCATGTTGATTTGGCAGCAGTGTAAGTTTCCTTTCCAAAAATTGATCAACACTCCTTCCTAAGATCTTGAATATGGTAGCTTTGTGTTGTTAGTGGTTTACATCATGCAGCAATGAACTAATGTACCTTTGCTTTTTTACTTTCTCTTTGGTGATATTCATTCGTGCAAAATTAATTTTGCATATCAAATTTAGCGTGCTATAAACACATTGGGGGATGGAAGGTGGTGCAGTGGTGGTGTTAACAAATTTAATGTTACAAATTTGAACCTTTCTGATGCCATTTTCATCTTCCTATACTTAATTTAGTTTTTCAAAGATGAAAATTACATTTGTTTCCCGCGCCCCCGTAAAGCGTTAGTAATAGAACCAATATAGATTCTTCATTCTACTACATTGTTTTTCATGTCCAAAACCATATGTGGGGTCTTGACTCTAGAGGGTGGACCAGTTGGTGTTCCATTGTACCTTTCCAGACGGCTATAATGAATTAATGATGTCGTTTTGTAGCAGTGGTTATCGAGGTGGTGTCATTTGGTGTAGGTGAGAATGAGAGATTAGAACCTGTGTAGATGGAAACCCCACAACATCCATGATGGGTCATTCTCTAAATTCTAGTATATTTATGCATTGTACATATTGTTCAAAGTTGTGTTTTTGGAAACGGACGTATAACATAAAATTAATCTAGAGAAGCAATGCCCACCACCATTTTTTCTTGATGGTTAGAAAGAGATATCAGAGAGCAATGCTTTGTTTTGGCCATAATGGGTATTGCTATCCGAGCTCTCTTATTGAATTGCTCATTTAATGAGCATTCTCAATATTATGCCTTGAAGAGGACTCGAACCTTCACGCTCTTTAGCACGAGATTTTGAGTCTTTCATAAATTTGGGGATCAAATTAGGTTAATATGTGTTTTAAAATACCAACATGTGTTGTAGCATAGGAGTCGATCAAAGGGAGACACTAAATGAGCATCAACCAATTTCAATATATGAGTTAGCTAGATCATTGGTAGGAAGATTTATACTAATTAAACTAAGAAAGCAAATATGAAAGAGAACTAGGATTAGGAATCCCTGCTCTATGGTTTATAGGGCCTTGGCACGGACGTAGGGCCTGCAATGTGCAAGGATAAACCCATTACCTCTTATGTTTCGACACTTTGATAAGGTCACTACAACAAAATCGGGTTTATAAGACATCAAAAATGTCCAAGTGTTCTAATAGACTTCCTTAGGTTTATAGGACCAAACAACTGTGAGATCTATGCAAAAGTGTTACAATAAGTTTATAGGACATTTTTGGCATCTTAACAAGTTTTTTAGGACACTTTGAAATATAATGCCATATTAGTTTTTTTATGACATTATTTGAACAAAGTGTCTCATAGAAACACGTGTTCTATAGAAGATTGTTGGACACTTCTCCGAAGTGTCTTATAAGAAGCTACTACGACACTTTGTTTTAGAAGTGTCATAAAAACTTTTTAAGATGGCCAAAAGTGTCCAATAAACTTATTGTACACTATTACATATGACACTCAATTGTTTTGTCCGATAAACTTAGTCCAAGTAGTCTATTATTACACAGACATTTTTACGTCCTATAAGCCCAAGTTTACTGCAGTGTGTATGGATAATTTCTTTTATCCACTACCCGTTTACCTGACATATTAATGGTTTGTACATGGATAAACGATATTTTTGTTATTTGTTATTAGAGACCATATATATATACACACACACAATTATAAAAAGTTAACTATTAGAATTTGGCTTCGAATTTTCATATTGTTATTGTTACAAAAATTTCATTATTATATTTTGAATAACATTACAATGTTTGTTGTAACAAATTAGATGTAGAATAATTACTATCTTTCTGAATTTTAAATTTTATCTCTATGTTTAATGTTTAGCAATATTTTTTGTAACTCAAAAGCGACCGTTTTGTTATCCCATATCTTAATAAGTAGGGTAATATGCATAAGAGTTCCATAACATGGATAATAATTCGTTTCGTAACTCACTATTTTAAATGGATAGGGTAACAAAATAACCCTTACCCTACCCCATACTCTATCCATTGCCGGTCTTACACGGCCCGTGCAACTTTTGGCTTGATTTTGGCACATTCTGTTCCAAGCTCATTAGATGAAAGTTGTAGCTCTTTTTCTTATCTTCCCACAACCTCTGGAATCGCCTCAATCCGAGCTTAGACGAGTGAGATATTATCAAAATATTGCATGAAGGTGAAAGCTGTCCAAAGAATGCTACCACTAACATGTGTTTGCCGTTTTGCTTGCTCGACAACGCTTAGGTCTTCCATAAATGCTTGGAACTTACTGTTTACAGCTCGCTATTGTGAGAACACTTTTATTTTGAATCATACCAAAAATGCTAAAACTCATTTGTTTCTTCGATTAAGACTCACATTCTGAGCACCGAAAATGACTAAAAGCAACTAAAACCACCAGAGCAAACCACAAGTTGGCACAAGACCAAATTAATGAAAATGCAATGGTAGAATGGGGAAAATGCAACCTGAAATACGAAAAGACGAACACAAAAAACACTCAATAGTAAATTTGTTCAAATTGGTGAATTCTTGATTTTTTGTTGATGTTATTTAACCTTGAAACTTGATTTGCCCACCAAAGTTTCATTCATGGCCGGAGAGTTTGAAAAATTATCATAACTCAGAATAGATGGGATGCTCATGTAATGATACCATAGGTGGTTGTGGTTCATTTGAACATGTTATCATTTCAAATGACCAGTTATATGATATTATGCTTACATCTGGATGTTGTACTTTTGAAGTGGTTATTGACTGTAGCCTATAGCTTAAAAGTATGGTCACTATATGATGCTACTGGTATGAACTAATTGTCAGTAAAGACCAAGGATCTTTATATGCATTGCATTTCTCTTTGGTACTTTAGAGTTTTGCCAAGGATTGTTTCTATAGTTACCGATGCTGGTGGCTGGATATCTTCGATTGCCCAAAATGTGGGTTTGGAATAAGTTGTTTGCATTGATAGGCAGCCTTTTGGTGCTTGTGAAGAAGAGTGCTAGAAGATATTTGTACCGACTTGAGAAATCAATTTGGAAGTAAAATTGTAGACTTCGAGACAGCCATGTGCTTGTTGTCAAGGCTTGTTAGGCTCATAGTTTGTTGACATATCTTTTTGTTGATTTATGAGGTTGAGTGCAGTTGGTGGATATGTTCTTGTACATGCTTCTGGTTGCGTGTTTTTTCTGTTTGTTTATCTGTTTTTTTGGATGTTGTTACTTATTTCTAAAGCATTTTCAATTTTTTAGCAATATGTTCTATTTCCGTAAATTTTGTGGGCAAGATTTGTCATTTCCTTTAGCACGTGTTGCACAAGCCGGGGGTTTTCATGGAAACAACCGGTCTGAAGAGTAGAGGTCAGGTCTGCACACGTCTCACCCATGACCCGACCTTCGGGTGAGATATACTGCGCTTGTGTGGTTTGGTTTGGTTTATTGACCCTTTTACATTATGCAGGTACTGGAGCTCGAAGCTTGCAACGGAGAGGCAAAGGCTTGTAAATTGCTTTACACGGGCTGATGTAGTTTGTACGTTTCTTTTTCTTGATCTTATATGAGTAGAATTATGCTTGGTATTACCTTGAAAAATGCAGAGGTCATGTTAAATCTTTGAACCCCTAAAAGTTTCTCATATAATTCTCTTTTTTTGATGCTTTCTTGAATGATTATATGAGCATGACATAATATTTCTTTGTTCTGTGGAATCTGATAGTTTCCGCCAACAGGTGACGTGTTTGCTGGGGTTGGTCCTTTAGCCATATCTGCAGCAAAAAAGGTTAAATATGTGTATGCAAATGATCTAAATCCTCATGCAATCGACTATCTGGAAAGAAATTGCGTGCTCAACAAACTTGAAAGGAAGATTGAGGTTTGACTTTGAACTTGGTCGTTCTCTGGTTTCCGTTCAAGTTTAGATCAATTAACATATACCCCCTCCACCACTGCACCACACCACAAGTGCAGACATTTTCATTTTGTGAGCGTGCTAAGGACAAATGACAACAATTTGAAGATGCAAATTCATGGAATAAAATGACTCAAGGGCCTGTTTGTTAGCAATTTAACGAGCTTAATGGGACTCGCAACTTATTCGGTCAGTTATACATGATTGTTCGGTAGCGGCTTAATGATATAGAAAGTGGCTTATTTAGTAAGCTTTATCGTATTTAAAATTAAGGGCATTATAGGGAAGAATTCTAATAACTTTCTTTCAAGTGCGTTACAAGTCAATTGTTCAATTCGTTGTGATATGGGGGAGTAATGTATTAAGGATGCCCGATTGTTTCACATTTTTAGCAAGATTTGAGGTTATTACGTTCTCTGTTCTGAAGCATTTACACATCATTATACCTGTTGTCAAATTGAAGGTTTTTAACATGGATGGGAGGAGATTCATTGATGCTATCTTTAAGAGTCAAAGTTCCCGACCCATCACACAAGTAGTCATGAATCTGCCTAAGGATGCAGCTGAGTATCTTGGTACGTATGGGCTTGACTATTCCTCTTTGCATTTATATTTTTTATTTTCCTAAATGATTCTGCTTTTAAACTTCAACATCACCTCTTATCAGAGGTGAAATAAGATTTTAGAGTTCAACGCCTCTTAAAAAACAAACAATCATGCTTGTTTGTTCAATTCTTGTGGCACTGAATTCTTTCTGATTCTGATGTTATTTCGATGATTGACATAAAAAGGTCGTGTAGTCTAGCACAAAATTGCCAGCTTTCTGTCAATAAATTTGAAACTTAGGGGCCGTTTACCAAAATGCTTACCTGTTAAGTGCTTGCTGGTAAAAGTGAACACTCTACTTATGACATCGGGTGCAACAATTTATCTGGCAAGCGCTAACTGGGTAAGAATCGTCACCCTTTGCTTACTGTGTAAGACTTGGTTTTTGCCATGAGTCTTACCAGATAAGTTTCTCGGTTCTTGCCATGTTCATTCCATAAGAAAAGTGACACAGTAAGAGCTTACTTGGTAAGCATATGGTAAACGGCCCCTTATGACTAATGAGCTTTCTGGTTCATAGACCTCCTTCAAAGAAGGGACCCATTTAAGGTAGAGCCATTAACTCTTGTTGGGACTCGCTTAGTGCTTTTTCTGGCTCGAAATTTTAATGGAAAACCAACTAAACAGACCCTTATTCACTTTGACATGAAGTCAATGCCCTTTCATTGAAAGGAGTGAAGCTTTCCATAGCTTGACAGCAGTGACCCACAAAGGCAAGATGATACCAAAGAGGGTATGGATCTTGATTATAGTCGTAGTCATGTAGACTCTATATGAGTGCGCTTGGTACACGGACGGGACTGGACTGGACAGACGAGAATGAGGTAGTTAGGTGAAAGAATTGTGAAAGGTTTTAGAGTTTTAATTTGACATGGCCACATGGGCAGTTTAGTAATTTATCAACCTTGTCCCATTTCCTTGATTTTTGCTCCACCTATTTTGGTGAGTCAAAAAGTCACTCAGTCCCATCTTGTCCAAACCTGGGACAACAAGTTTTTGTTTTGCCATGTCCCGCATACAAGAACTTGAAGTGTCGATTCTGCATGGATCCCACATGGATGGCTCCCGAAATTCTATATCCACTTTTTTCTTTTCTTAAAAGAATCCATCATTTGATTCTTTGACGGTTGGAGGTGGTAGAAACTGATGCGTGTCCACAGTTCTTGCAGCATTAACGTCACACGGTATCTGGTTTATCCATTTCCTTTGTCTTTATTGAATTAGGAATGATTCGTTGGTAATCCCTAAACCCCAACCCCTAAACCGATGAATTCCAGTCTGAGAACTAGATACGTTCATGGCAAAATGCATCAACTTGTTTGAACTTAAGATTACACATAACTGACAGAAGTCCTTCATCATCTTTAGGATCAAAGTTCTCTTCTTTGCTCAATCTTATGTCAAATTTGATGTCAGATGCATTTAAGGGAATATTTAGAGATGCCGACAGAAACGAAGAGTTAACATTGCCAACGATTCATGTCTATGGATTCTCAAAAGCTGAAGATCCAGAGTTCGATTTTCATGAGGTTTGATATTTCAATTTACATAGAAACTTTTTCCATCTGTGGTTCTGATTCCTTTAGGGTGCTTTTGGTACACTGGACAGAACAGGATGGGGATCCCTATCCCATGTTTGGCATGACTTTTATGTGGAACAGATAGGAACAAAGTGGAACAGGCATGTTCCACCCCTACCCCATGGAACATGGTGGAACTGACTTTTATTTTACCATTATAACCTTAAAATAAAACTTAATTCTCTTCTAAAACATCAAATAGGTCTCTTTTTTGCATTTTATTCATTCTTTAAATTTTATTTATTGTATTTTATGTTTCTTAAACTTTTATTTTACTGTTCTCAAAATGTTATTTTTATACAGTTTCTATATTTTTATTAATTTATGTAATTTATTATATATTAATAATAAAAAATAATGTAAGAAAAGAGATAAAAATAAAAATTGGAAACTACATGAACTTTTTATTTGGTGTCATTTTAATTGTTTTGACGAAAACTTTCTAATGATATATTTTGTTATAAAAAATAATTACTCTAGTATAATTTAATAAATTAATTAAATAAATATCTCATTAAGGGTAAATTGGTCATTTTACTTGTTTTGTTTTGTCCATTTTTATCTTACCAAACCTTGAACAGTTGTTCTATCATGTTCTGTCTGGACACCAAACAGACCCTTAGGAAGTAAGAACATGTCTAATGGTTCCTTCAAAAATGGAGAAAAAGAAGATTTTGGAGTTTTTAGGCTCTTCTTCTTTTGAGATAAAAATCTCCTGTGTCCAAATTCTCACGTTCTATTCATGTTCATCAATCACACCAGTACACATAGTTAGAGAGAATGTGAATGTGAATAAATTTAATTCGTCCTTGTGATTTGCTAAAAATTGCGAATTTTATCTACAGGTTTAGAAACTGATGTTTTTGTCCCAATGGTTTGTAACTCATTGTTATTTTCATTCGTATGATTTACAATTTATTGTTGTTTCGGTCCATGTGGTTGACTATTCTTTACTGTTTTGGTCCCTTATACTTAGAGGTAGGAATTAATCCAAGGACGAACATAGCAATAAATTGTAAACCATAGAGACGAAAATCACAGTTTATAAAGCATAGGGACGGAAATCGAAACTACTGATGGAGTTGAATGTAACTTTTTTTTTGGAGATTTTGACTTTTGCTTCTCAATTTTGGAGAATTTATGAAGAAATTTTTATAAAATGCTTTTAACCATATCGTTTTTCTTGATGGTTTTTAATCAGCGGATAAGAATTGCGTTGTCGGAGGTGGCTTTTGAAGTAAAAATGCATAAAGTGCGACTTGTCGCCCCGGGAAAATGGATGTTGTGTGCATCATTCGTTCTTCCCGAGAGAGTCGCATTTGCAGATCCGATATCGGAGCTGTAAGTCGATTCTACCGATGAAGATTGTAGATTAGAAATTGTGGGTAGTGAGTAAGTAAAGGTTGGTAGCAAATGGTTTTGAAGGACTTGTTTTGATTACTTCTCTTTTTGTCTTCATCCATAATATGATCTTGCAATATCTTTTAATCATATCAATTTGTTTGTGAAATTAAAATAGATACCTCTTGTTATTTTTTATGCCACAACAAGAGGTATATTGTTTGTTATATACAGGTTTTGATGCGCCATAATACTGGACGTAGGGGTGCTCAAAAACCTGACCAATCCGATCAACCCAACTCAATCCAATGTGAAATAACTCAACCCGAAACAACCTGATGTTTAATCAAGTTGTAAAAAATTTCAAACCATAGGTATTGAGTTACTATTAATTGAATCCAACCCAATTTGATGAATTCAATATTCTTTTATTTATTGGATTTAATGTGATTGTTGAATTTATATTAATATATACATTAGACAATTACATTATCACGTACGTTTTTCATATACACATATTTTCAATCTATTTACATCTATATATAACTCATTCATATATATGTTTAGTAACTGTGAACATATATATGTAAATTGAAAAGATTAATTGAATGTGATATACATAAGAAGTATTGATAAGTTGTATTAAATGGTTGATGAAAAAGAAATTATAAGTAGATAAATAACATATTCAAGTTTAGAATATCAACCTGTATGGTTTGGGTTGGGTTTAAGATTTTTCAAACCGCAAGCATTGAGTTGAGTTGTTTAAATGTCTTCAACCCGATTAACTCAACTCATAAACACTTCTAACTGGATGAACGAAAGTGAGATAGGTCTGGATGAAAAAAATTGTCTAAAGTTGTAGTGTTTTAATCCGAATTATTATTTATTAATTTTTGTTTGTACTATTTTAGTGGAATAAAAATATTGCTTTGAAGGTCAAACAATAAAATTTTCAAATGCATTTTAAATGAACAATAAGATATATTAAATTTATTTAGTTTTAAATAATTCAATATTATAAATTAAGAGCATCTTTAAAAGATTCTCAAATCTCCAAGACGTTGAATTAAAGGTTGTTTGTTTACCTCTTAATAGTTTCATTAAGAGACAACATCTGAATCGTTAAGAGGTGAATCTTATTTGACAAAAAAAAAAAGTTTGTCCGTTAATGGTTCTAAAACATCTAAATGATTTTGTATCCTGAGCCTCCATTAACCATTCAGCACCTTAATTTCATTGTAAGCAATTATGTTTCATTTTACACTATATCATGAGAGCCTTTTAATTATTCAGACCACTTAATCATTATTCACCAAACCCTCCAACAACTGCATAACAACCTCTTAAATCTTCAAAGAAAATTACATTAATATTCATCATATTATCTATTTTAAAGATTAAAATATTAATTGTATTATTAAAATATTCCTTAATAAAATATTGATTTTCAAAGTTTTTTATTGATGAAATATATTGAATAATATTTTTCTTTTATTTGTAATAATTTTTGAAGTCTTCTTTAATTACACTTTTTCATTTTTTTTAATTTTAAAGAAATTGTTCAGAAAAAAAGCCATACTTAAAATTAGGGATATCCAATATCAACCGATCGATCCAATTAGAATCGACCGACCATTTGGATTAGATCGGATCTAAAATTTCAACATCCAAATTAGATCGGCTGGTTCTTGGATGACAATCTAACATCCAATAAAACCGAACCGATCCAATACAATGACCATCCAATTCCCCATCTAATGATTATCCAATTAATAACTATATATAATTATTAATATTTTACGATCTTGTTTTTTAATTGATATTTATATACATTATTTTTTAATAACTTAAGAAAATATACGAATAATTGGTTAAGTATTAGATCGAAGGATTGAATGAATCAAATACGATCAAATGAATAACCAATAGTAACATCCAATTGATGAAACCGACCCGATCTAATCATGCACTGGATTTGGATCAGATCAGATGTCCACTGTTAATTGATTGGATCGAATGACAAAATCTAACATCCAATAAATAATTAGATCAGTTCAGATCCATCTAAATCCATTGAATCTCAACCGATAAACACTCGTAACTAAAATTTCCAAAACATCTATTTTTCGTTTTAAGAAACGTGTTGTCAAGTGGAAGGATGTGGTTAGGAAAGTACAATTCCTGCAGAATATGCTCTACCATGTTATAGTCAACCCCATGTCATTGGCCATCTCACACGTTAACACTTATCTAACACAAGTTATTAATTATTAATTATTAATCTTATATATCTCAATTAAAAGATGTTTGATATTGCTTATAAAAACAACTTATTGACTTATTTCGGTGTGGCACCGGTAATAAGTATTTTTGAATGTTTGGATAAACAGCTTATTCCGGTGTCAAACCGGTAATAAGAAGTTTTTGAAAAAGTTAAATATTCTAACTTATAATAAGTTTATAAGGACTTTTATAGAAAATAATAAGTTATTTCAAATAAACAATCTCAAATACCCCCAAATTTTCTCCATACAAGATTGATACTTTTCCTAATTAAATTACTTCCTTTTTTTTGTTTTTCAATCACTTGACCTTTAATTCATTTTAATTTAATTAAAATTTAAATAAATTGTATCTATGTCTATACTATATTATAAATCATTTGACAAAAACTCTTAAAAACTAATTTTTATGTATAAAGTACTGTTTATTGATGCATATTACTTAAAATTCAAGATTACAAGTAAATAATGCACATGTACAATTTATTAAAGCTTCATATTTGAATTTGTGTAACTAATTGCAGATAAACATAATTAAATAGAGAATAAACATTATTTTAAATATACAAAATTAAAATCTAATTAAGATAATCATATGATCAATATAAAAAATTATATTATCAAACCAAAAATAAAAAAAATGAATTACAAATACACAAAAAAAGAGAACATAATCAAATACATGATAAACATAATCAAATACTAATTTTTGAATTCATGTAATTAACTGTAGATAAACATAATCAAATACAGGATAAATATTTCATTTTAAATATAAAAAAAATATAATATAATTAGGATAATTATTGAGTTTTAACAGAATACTTAATTTTCATCCTTATAAAAATGATATTATTAAACAAAAATAAATTACCTTGTTATAAATCTATGTTAAATTATAATAAAAATTTGAATTAAAGAAATTACATAGAAAATGAGAACTTTTAAATAGTTATTTTAATAATTATATCGATACATTTTTTTCGTCTTGCCAAAGAGGGATTGAAAATAGAGAATTTCCCCAACTCAGTCTCTTTTTTAGTCTTTTTTCATCACTCTACCTATTGTATTGCCAACTAGAGAGTGATTTGAACTTCGTTAAGTCTAGTTGGCAACTGAACAAAGCTCTCGATCAACTAAAGTCAGTGTCCGGATCAGGAAAAGTCTCAACATGAATATTTATATTTCATTCAAAAATAAAAAAATTATTGTTTCCTAAAAACCACATAAAACCGTATTATATCAACAGAGAAAATGAAACACTAAAATCGAGATATATCTCACTGTATTACGCGAATACCCTTCTATTATGTAAAAATGACTTCTTTTCTTTCTCTTCCATTCAATAACACAAAAAAATAATTTCCTTTTCATCTTCTTCATTTTACTTTTCTTTTGACAAGATAAACAAGAAGGGTAATCACACAATGTCACGAAATACATATTCATTTAGGATTATGTGGTTTGAGAAAAATAATGTTTTTACTTTTGAATAAAGATAAATTTGAAAAAAGTTATCAATATTAATATCGAATTAACTATTTAAAAGTTCTCATTTTTTATACAATTTATTTAATTCAAATTTTTTTATTACACTTTAATTTAGGTCAAAATGAAGTAATTTATTTTTGGCTTAACAATAATTTTTTTATAAAGATAATGATTCCGTCAGAACTCAATGATTATCTTAATTATATTTCAGATTTTTTATATTTAAAATAAGATGTTTATTCTATATTTGATTATGTTTATCTGCAGTTAGTTATACAAATTCAAAATAGAGTTTTAATAAGTTATATATACGCACAATTTACTTGTAATCTTAAATTTTAAATAATATGCATTAATACACGATACTTAATACATAAATAATAGTTTTTAGTAATTTTTGTCAAATGCTTTATAATATAAATATAGATAATAAATTATTAATATCTTTTTCCTTTTAAATTCGAGAACACAGATTGATATGAAAAATAATTAAAAACCAAGTGATCCGACCCGAATAACTTTTGTTGATATATTCCGGCATCTCGTTGGGAGGTTAAAACCCCCAAACCATCGCCGATACATTCGCTCACACATTCTCAATTCAATCTTTCAGTCAACAATCCATAGATAAGCCCTAATTTTTCACACCCTAAATAATGCAATCCCAGAAAACCCTACCGGATTCCGACCTACCGTCGCTCGCCGCCATCAAAGTCAAATCATCATCTCCTCGTTTTCGTTCTACGGCCAATCCTTCCGCCACCGAAACCCCCACTGCTGGTGCCCAACGCAGGATAGGCATCGCCGTCGATCTTAGTGATGAGAGCGCCTTTGCCGTCAAGTGGGCCGTCCATCAGTATCTCCGTCCCGGTGACGCCGTGATCCTCATCCATGTCCGTCCTACATCCGTCCTTTACGGCGCTGATTGGGGTTCTGTTGACCTATCCATCGTCGATACTGACAATGAGGAATCGCAGCAGAAGCTTGAAGATGATTTTGATACTTTCACGACTACGAAATCGGCTGACCTAGCGCAGCCTCTGGTGGACGCGCATATTCCGTATAAGATCCATATTGTTAAAGATCATGACATGAAGGAGAGGCTTTGTTTAGAGGTTGAGAGGTTAGGGTTAAGTGCTGTTATCATGGGAAGCCGAGGGTTCGGTGCGACAAAACGCGGGAGCGATGGCCGGCTTGGGAGTGTTAGTGATTACTGTGTGCGCCACTGTGTGTGCCCGGTGGTTGTTGTGAGGTATCCCGATGAGAAGGATGCTGCTGCTTCTGCTGAGCCTGTGGTTTCGGTGGCTACTGCTGATGATGAAGAAGATGAACCTGAATTTCATGATGCAACCGATGAGCGGAAATGTTAGTGTTCCTTTTACCTTCTTTTCTTACCAATTTGACTGTTTGATAATTGATATTACTGTCTGTTGGGTTTATAATTAGTGTAAATGCTTGTGAATTGTGGATATTTACGTTTGTGTTAACCGCTATGCACTGTTAAGCTAAGCCTAGGGAGTTCTTGCTTCAAAGTTCTTTAAAAGAATTCTTGAAGGCAGGCTGCATTTGATTAGGTGGCAGTCGAAGCTGGTTAATTTGGACTAGATGCTTTTAGATGGGTAATAATGATTTTAATGAATGTCTTGCTGCCATTGTTAACAAAATAAATGGTCGATTTGACATTAGCATGCATCTGTAGGTGATTTAGATGGATCAATCGTTTATAGTCTTGTTCTTTTTGCCTTTCATGACAAGGGATTTTATTCTCCTTGGTCTTGAAAAATTGACAAAATTACCATTTGGGATGTTTGTGGAAAATTGTAATGTTATGATTGCTATCTACTTATATTATATGGAAGGATTTCCAGTTTAAGTTACCTATTTAGCAATTATTACTAATACAAATTATTGGTATCGGTGATTGTGGCCCACAGTTTTTACTTTATCGATGCTTTCTTGTTTGGTAAATAATCGAAGAATTACATATAACCGTGTCTAGTCAAACCTTTGAATTTTTCATGGGTATATGGCTAAAATCACACAGAATTATCATTTAATGCAACTGTGAAGTGCTGCGATTTTGAACGCCTCACAGAATTATTATGTAACCTTCTTGTAGACACTGGCCGTATCTGGAAGACACCGAGTATTCACGTATTTAATCAATAGCCTTACCATTTCAACTCACTTCCAGTAGATTTTTTTCTCTAAATGTCTTCCACTTTCCTAAATATGGTTAAGTGTAGCCATTGCAAGGTCTATAGTACTAGGAAAAGAAAATAGTTTTGGTTGTACGCACGGTTGTTGTGTTCTGTATCTTTGACGCAAGAGTAGCAGTGATCTGTTCACCATGCTACAGCCTCTTTCAGATATTGATTTGAAGATTCTAAATTTTTGCTAATGATTGCTTTATGTATTTTTAAAGAGCTGAAAACTTGGATTTAATCAAGTAAAATGGAGTCGAATCCATTCCAAGTCTAAATCTCTCTGTTTTGTTTTGTTGGCGTTACTAACGGTAACCATTTTGTGCACATTAGTACCATTTATTTAGGTCAGTCGTCTTTGTCATAGATATTGGGATGGTAGGGTTTCCATCTTGAACTGTGATGCTTCTGTAAGTTGATTACTAGGTCTTAAGCCGTAATAGGAGACCTGATGTAATTAACTATTTCTTGATAGGCCTTTGTTGGTTGGGAGTCGGGACCACCCTTTGTAGGCAATTAGTAAAGTATTACACAAATTATACCTTGACTATTTGAAAATTTGCAGGTTTCATTCCCTGGGATGTATTTTTTTTTGGGTTTTTGTTATATATATAAGTATTCCCCCACTTAACCCCTCTTGTTCAGTTTTTCTAATTGTATGATGTGCCAGAGCAGCTAGGCAAATTCCCTCTTTTGGATAAACACGTAGAAATTACTTGAGGGTGTACTGATCTTGAAGACTAAAAAAACCTGTGTTGTGATTGCATTGGCAAAAGAATGATAAGACTTGGATGTGCAAATTTGTGTCGCTATGATAATAAATTTTACCATTTTGCTATGACCTTGATGTTATTGATGTTCATAGTTTGTTAGCACGTGCTTTACATTCAATGAAGACTTGAATGCAGTGAAGCTTAGTTTTATGCACTTTTCTAATTAACTAGAACTTTAGTTCTAAAATTCCTTGGATTATTGAGATTCTGATAGTGCATGTTAGCGGTGGGTTATATAGGGTGCATTTAGTAGATGGGACAGGCCAAAACAAAACAAACACATTTGGCATGACAGTGGGACTGAGCGGGACAAAAATGCACTTCCTTTGACCCACCAAAATAGGTGAAACAAAATTAACTGGGATAAGATTGGTAAATTCCTAAACTAAATATGTCAAATTAGATCTCTAAAACCTGCCACCATTCTTTCACCTGACTATCTCACTCTTCCTTGTCGAGTTCTGCCCATGTGCCAAACGCACCTTAAGGCCAGGTTTTGGAGATGCTGAGATGCTGGTTTGGTTACCCTATATGGCTGATTTTCTCAATTTTGTTTTTATCTTTTGGCAGAAGCATTGAGGGAATGATCTTTGTGTGAATCTTTGGTTTAAAGGTATGGACTCAGTGACTCACTTATCCTGGCATTGCTTTGTATTAATGACCCACCTGCATGCACATGAGATCTCATGCTATATTAGTTTATGAACTTTGAAGCTTCATTCTGCCATCCTAACTTCCCTGTGGCTAAACGAAACGGTCCCTGTATATCCCACCTAGAGATGAGGTTTTGGGGCCTGTTTGTTAGCAGCTTAATGAGCTTAATGGGACTCAGCTTATTCGTTCAGCACTACATGACTGTTTTTGTAGTATCTTAATGATACAGAAAGTGGCTTATTCAGTGAGCTTCTAGGGAGGGGGAGCTTTATGCAGAAAGCCAAGTTTTTTCTCAAAACCAGCTCCTTCCAATTAAAAAACATGCTTTTCCATCTATGAAAAAACTCTCCCAAACGAAAACCTTCCCCATCTATTTAGATGGATTAATCCACACAGACAACCATATCCATATAGGACTTAATGAAAAACCAACCAAACAGCCCCTTAGGCCGATTCAGGGATTATATCTGTCTCTGTATATATTTCCAATTAATTCTTTTAATTTGTTTCCCACATACAGGATGGCCAGAAGGCATTGCGGTCTGCAAAGTCGAGGTGAAATTAACTAGTTGATTTTTCGTGTTTGGATTTGGATGTCATATATGATATGACCAATGGGTTCGTTGATCCATTGGGTGTGTCTGAGGTAGAAACTCATGCTAGGTTTATGATTAGCAAGTGTATGGCTTATATGCTGCATTTATAAGTTATGTAACTGGATTCTTGATGGCATATACTCGGGTGTAATATAACTGTCTTCGATTATGTACTTGCTACTTCCATTACCGTCGATTTATGCTGTTGATGTGTTCATATAATGGTCTGAGATGTCTGTTTCTGGTTGTGCTGGTTTAGAATTCAGTAGTTAGTATCCTCCCTCTCTGTGTTATGAAGGATTAGTTTGGCGGCCGAATCAGTTTCATAAGAGAAACAGTAACCAAATAAGAAAATGGTCGATTCACATGTGATGATTCACGCAGGTCGTGGGCCACGTTGCTTGCACACCCT